AGAGACGATTATAAATTTTCTCAACACGTAGTAAGCTTATCACTGCGTAATCTATTACATCATGAAAATGATAAAAGTGTTTGAAGTCACTTAATAAAGAGCGATAACGTTATCAGTCGTATTTTAATATGAGTCGTATTTTACTGTATCTCGTGCATCGATATTATCAGCCGTTGACAATAAAGCTTAAAACCTGTTTCTTTCTTTTTGCACTTGACACCGAACACCGCATAAACAACGCGCATTCTTCACACACAATCCTCCGGTCGAAAGTTCGTGGAACTTGATGAAAGAGATTACGCCACCTTGACGTGCGTTCCAGTTTCGTTAAGCGATCGCTTTTTATTCAGCATCCGTCTCGTGGGTGGCGATACTTATTCTTTTCCAACATTTGCAAACGCACCGTTAGATCGATTAGATAGAGTAGAAGCAATTTCGTGAATAAAATATGAAAATTATGCGCAATTCACGGCACGAGGAAGCACTCGTAGCTTCTGCTAAGCGGCGCGATCGTACTTTGCGTACATTTTCCTTTGTCCGCAATATTGTTCACAAGGATATCATTGCGCGCTTATTAGATAAGGCAGAGATATCATTTCATAAATGAATACTAAATAATGCGAATCGCATCCGGGAGATCTGGCCATGATTCTAACTTGTCACAATCACGCATTGTTAAAATAATAAAGACTGCTTCTACTTATAACTATATATTTTTATTGCTGAATCCTATTACTGAATATTTATTTATGGGTATTTATTATAAGCTGAACGCAAAAATAGTAGAGTATGTTTTGAAATAAACAAATATATTCTGAGCTACAAATTGTACTGTCTTTTCTTTTACACGTGATGCCCGATTTGTTTACTATTAGGAGATGTCTATTATCGTATGTGTACTTATTGATGTTAATAGTAAATTTTTATCAACAAGAGAGATACAATTTCGATCAAATATAACACACGCGTATTCGATTGTTTTTTAGTTGTTTTTTAAAATAAAACCCATAGAAAGACAATTTATTAAAGAAAATTTATTGTTACGATTTATTTCGAAGGATAAAATTACTTCCATCTTTACTGTACCACATTATTATTTTTTGGCCCACTCTGAAAATTCTCTCAATTGCTCAAAACTCTTCAATATTTACATAATAATTTATTTAAAAAATATATAATTTTTAATTTAATCTCTACATGGAAAGAACTGTTTTGCTGAAATATCTAAGATTAGATACAGATCTGAAAATAGTTTTGTTAAATTAAACTGATTGTTAGAATATCAAAACTTTTTGCAGCATTGATCATTATGTTTGAGTATCCCAGAATTTCCTACATAATTATTTTAATGGTTCAATAAAATTATTTTTAGATCTGTATCTAGCTAAATTTTTAGATACTTAAGAAAAATCGTTTCTTCCATGTGATATCATAATTGGAGAAAGTACCATCAGATTTCCTATATAACTAAATCATTCATACCTTGCAATCTATATTTAATTAAAAAAATTATCTATAATTATTATTATTATTATTAGGCGTTAGGAACTCGAAAGCTCATTGCCGCAAATACCAAATCCCGCCACCAAATCTACCAAATCCGCTACCAAATCCGCCATAATTATCTATAATATTTTACTAAATATTATTAAAACGCAAATAGAGACTATTATATTTATTTCTCATTATAGATAAACGAAATAGATTTAAATTTTTAATAAAAGTCAAGTTACCTTCTAGTTCATTGAAAAGAATAGAACAACAAATAATATTCTGAAAATTAGGCCTAGTTTTGCTACACATAATTCAAACGATATTTAAAATCCTAATGTGCAAAATGTCAATAAAAAAGATATATTTATGATTAAAGACAAAATGAAGAATCAACAAGTGCCAAGCGATACCACAGCTTTATCGAAAAAATTATTGACGAAATTACTTCCGTCATTATTCTGCGAAACTCGCTTCGCCGAACAACGAAGGTTTATCCGGAATAGACGTGCAATGTTTTGCAATGCAAATATTTTGACAATGTGTTCGTCTGTAAAAAAAAAGATTGAACTCATGTTATCATATTACTGAATGTGACAATTCATATACTGGGAAAAACGTATAACCCTTTATTTTGTTGATATGTCACTCTAACAAAAACTTTTTTACTTTTTTATTTAAAAAAAAAAATTGTATTTCCTAATTAAAATTTGGTTATTCTGATCAAATTTCAAACCAACCTAAGTAAAATTTGATTAGAATAGCTAAATTTTAATTCAATGAAAAAGAAAAGTTCTTGTTGTAGTTATACGTACGAACAAAAAAAAGTTATACGTACCAAAATATTTCTCTCAATGTAAACTTCCCGGCGCGGCGAAAATCAGAATACATTCCGAATTAATCGCTATTAAACGGTATATAATGAAATATATCGCGATGTATTAGGTTTGCGTGAGACACGACCGTTGAGCACGTAACAATCTCGTTCTAGATACGTATTAAAAACGGCAAATTAAGCATTGGGATCCACGATTATCGTCAGGAATAATCGCCATTCTGTTCAACGCTGATTCCCACTTCCGGATTATCTAATATGAGAAAGTAACTATCGTCCCTCGGACAAATCGCGCGAATCGTGTGCCTAATTTCTCCCATTTTCTGCTGAATGTCGGACGTCTTCGGTTTCACTTCGCTTCACCGCGAGGATGCGATGATGCGTTTTACGAGAAGACTGGAAATGAGTATGTGGCGTTCGAGCGAGGCAGACTTTACTGTCGAACACTTTAGAAAGCGCCGCGCGGTTTCGGAACGTTTTACTTTGCGCAGCCCGTACAATAATACACCTCCTAATTTCGCAGATTAGTACTGCGGTTATTGTAGGCGAATACAGTGTTCATTTATATCTGAGCAATAGCACTCGAATGGGTTTGTGCCTATTAAACAACACTTCTTATTGCGAATGATATAAAAGTTGATTGTCGCCAAGATCAAAATTAATTTCGTAATATAATTCTATATAAATTCAAACTCTTTTATTTATCTCTTCGCGTCGTCCTATAAAAATACGATTTTATAATATAATTATATTATGTGAAAAATCAGAATATATGAAAAGTGTTATTTCTAAAATTTTTATCTTTTAACCGAATTAAAATTAAAAAGAATATTTGGTAATATTTGTTAATTGTACGAATAATAAATTTAATGTAAGTAATTTTCATGTGACATGAATAAATATTAAGTTTTCGTTTACTGCGATCTGCGTGTAATGGTGTTGCTTTCCCAAGCAATGCCGGGTGATAGAGCGAAATGTAAATAAACAGATTCCGTTTCGTAAACTGTTGCTCGTGTTTCATCGACTTATGAGTAAGCAGCATAAAATGAGAAGATTGTTTGTCACAACTATCGTGACAGGTCCAATATCGTCCGCTAGTCTTGACTTGATTGACAAGTGTTTCGAGGTTGCCCGCAACGGCAAAACAATTAAATCAGTATACATATACCCGTCTGAGTGGCACGGCCAATGTTCGGTTTAGGACACGCGACAACCGTTACACATGTCGTACAACGTGTTCGGTTTAACAAGGATTCTCGTAGTTCATCAGCGATATGCGTGGAGTGAGTGGAAGCGAGACGCAAAATCGAGGACAAGTAAGTCACAGAGTATACAGGATGTCACGTAATTTTCTCGCGTTTCCTTTCAGTCACGTTTCTTGATTAATTCGAAGACGATTATTTCACAACTAACACTCAATCATGAATATCTTCGTGACTGGTATTATTAAAATTCTCTATCAATTTGTGTGTTCGAAAAACTAACGAATAGTGCGGTATTATGAATCATTTGCGTTTATAAAATTTTTTAATTCGCGAAAAGCCTCCGGTTTTGTCACATCTACAAATTATTGTAAAAAAATTTATATTGATAATTAAAAATAATATTGGATTTGACAATCATAATTATAGAAAAATAGAAATTCAGAATTCAGAATCATAAAACAATCAATGATTAAATTGATAAAAGGACAAGTGTCCAGTATGCACGAAGTGAAACGTGTGTTTGAAATATTTAGAGTTAATTAAAATTCCACAGATAAATGTTTTATAGGTGCAAACGTCGTCTCTGTCGAACGACATTTCTATCCGGCGTAGTGTATTAAAGAAAAAGTAAAATAATCAAACTATTTTACGCACGCGAAAAGAAAGTTGCCGGTACCAGGATACCATTGAACTATATCGATCGTTGCATCTTTCCCCGTGGTGCAACGTGATATTTAGTGAAAATTTGGTTTAATGAATGCCTACTCTCGCATAAAGGCAAGAAGTTAAATGAGAACAAAAAATCCAAGTATCTCTAAGTATCTCTTTACGGTAAATTACTTGCGCTATCGTGTTTTATTAGCTTATACTAATTTAATTTATGGAACATCTGTTTCATTTGACATATGTTTTTCTTATAAAGTTAAATAGTTTAAAATAAGAAAGAGATAAAACGCGATTTTAATATCAGCTCTATGGTTCAATATTATACATGTACAATATTATTGAGGCTAATTGTATTACTGAATTATTAAATTGATTAGTAAATATGGCATAATAATGACATATAATATAGTATAAAAAAAATATGGCATTATGATGTCTGTAGTATATAATTTATACACATTAAAAATTAAATATCTATAGAAGAATATTATTATTAAATATTGTAACTGTTATTCGTTCACAATAATTTTTTGCTCAATGAGATATTTATATTTACAGACACTTTTACAAAAGATATTATATTTTAAATAAAAAGATAGCTTTATGTTTGAAACATTTATATTAGGAACACTTTCACTAATTTATACGATTTCAACAAACAAATATTGCAATTTTACACTGCAAAGAAAGCAAGTCTTTTAGCAATAAATATGATGTCAATTACTGCCATAATTGCGACGTCATAGTTTGAATGAGTTCCTGGTACTTTTTGCATTTCTAAAAAGAGTGCATTGAAGACTCACCTTCGGCTTATCCCGCTTTCTCCTAATGATGAGGCCGTCATTCTCTATGTAATCCGGCACGTCCTTTCGATTACTGAAGTTAAATACCATCGTGTTGTTCTGCTGATTCCATGGTTTCGTGTCCCAGAGACCACCGCCGCCACCTCCAGCACTCGTCTTCTTCGCGGGTTGTATCTCGTCGGCGCTCTTCAGACTCACCACCACTTTAGTGGGCTGTTCGATGCTCTTGACTCGATTGATCAGGTTCTTCTCGAGCTCACGATTGCTCAGATTCTGCTGCGGATGTTGTGCCTTCGTAGAGACAAGCGGCCGTATGATGCCGATCTGCTTCTGCGGCGGCGAGAACTCGCTTTTCTGCTGACATCGTATCGTCTTCGCCTCGTTATTGCTCTGCGAATACGTAGTCGACGGTGATGTCGCCGTCGTCGTTGTCGTCGCGGTTTTGATTAAGCCCAAGCTACAAATAGCGCCGATAGGTCTATTCTCCGGTACGATCAGCTTCTCCTCGATATCCTTGTCGTCGCTCTCCTCCTCAGGCTCGAGCCTTTCTTGCAATCTCGAGGATACTTTGGAAGTCGCAATGTTGGAAGGTGCACCTACCTTGCTCTTACACTCCGTCTTCACGCAATAATCTTCCTCTGGCATCGGTTCGTCCGCCGACTTTTGACCATTCAGCTTCGTACCACCCGGTAAATAACTCTTGTCGCTCGTGGACTTGTCGCCAAAATTGAACTGCATTATCGTTCCCGCCTTGCCGATGTTGTCCAAGGCGACCTTGGAGATGGTTCTCGGACCGTCAACAATCTCCTCGTCGACGTTCTTCTCCCCATCGTTGAATGCCGCGACGCGGCTCGATTTCACGTCTTCTCTCCATTCCACATCGATGGACGATTCTGGAAGGCGTACCTGCTTGGGACTTTCGACGTTCGTTCTAGGAATCTCCTTGTCGATTTGCGGACAAACGGCTTTCGATTCCGCCTCCGTCTTCGAGGGTTCTCCCTTGACGGGGCTCGGTGGTAGCGGCGGTTTGTGAAGCGGACTTGGGATCTGGATGCGGATCAAGTCCTTGATGGGAGAGGAGGGACTCTGCGTGCCCTGTCTGATATTGTCACCCTTGACCGGTGACGGCGAGCTTGGGGACGGGAGTCTGGGCGACAAGATCCTCGGCGAGAGCACCGGCGTGACAGGCGGTGACTTGATGGTGATTTCCAGAGTGGCGGACTTCGGTTTGCACGTCTGTGGCGGTTCCGGGCTGTTCGCTGGAGAGAATTTCAGCTTGTAGCTCGAGGGTTCCGGCGACGGAGAGGGCGAGTGCGACTTTTCGATCTGCTGGAACTTGCTCACTACCGAGGATACCGATTGCGCGATTGGTTCCGTGATGACGCCGTCTATGTGGTACTCCTCCTTGCCGTCCTGCGTCTCGATCAGTTCGGCGGTCGGCTTGTGCGGTAGCACGATTTTTTTCGGGGAACCGATGCCACCGGCGGAACGAGCACCGCCGTTGATGAAAGGTTTCGGCTGCAACGGTGGTTTCTGCGCCAGCTTCTTCTGCGTCTGCGTTTGTGCCTTGAACGTGTCGTTGATGGTCTTGAAGGTGGCGACCTTCGCGGCGACCTCGCCCTTGGGCTTGAGCTTCCTCGCGGAGCTCTCGAAGATCCTCATCGTGGTCTTGACTAGATCCGGTGGCGGTCGTTCCGTTTCCGCCAGTACCGGTTTGATCCTCTTGGGCTTGTTGACTGGTTTGGGCCGGTCGAGCTCACACAGACGGCTCTCGATCTTCACGGACGTACGGTCGACGAGAATGATGTGGTCGTTGACCGGTTCCTGGCGGACGCCGTTCGTTACCGGTCGAGTAACCAGAACCTGACGCGCAGTCGTCGCCTCGTCAACCGTCACGCTGTTGTACCTCATCAAAGTCTCGACGCTGCGCGCCCGCTTCATCGAGTCGTTGCCCCGGGAGGCGTTCCGGTACCTGTCGGTCTTTATTTCAACGACGGCGGCGGCGGCGGCGGCGGCGGCGGCAGCGGCGGCGGTGGCGACGGCGACGGTGGAGGCGGCGGTGACGACGCCACTACCGCCGCTTCGCTTCGCGTACTTCCTGCTGGTAGTGATCTTTTCGTGACTGGACTCCTCGTCGTCTCGGTCCAACAAATCCTCGAGGCTGGCTGCGCGCCGAAACCGCTGCACCGACGCGCGGCTCTTGTTAGTCTCGCGCAGAGTGAGGTTAAGGTACTTGCACTTGAGCTTGTTGACGATCCCCGGTCCGTACTGCAGCTCCTCGGAACTGTCGCTCTCCGCTTCCTCGCTGGAGCCGCGACTCGATGGTGCGACGCGCAAACTTTTCAATACTCTAAAATTTCCACCGTAAAACATCTCCTTACCGCGTCTTCCGGTCAAGACGGCGCGAATCTCGTCGCGCTGCGACGACTCGTTGCTCTCGTTACTCTCGTTCATCCTCGCTCTCAACGGCTTGCCGTCCGCCGTTCTCGAGGTCGCGTCCTCGTTCTCCTCGCCGATGTTGTAATCCGACAATTTCCGTTCCGACGAAATTTCCGCGAATTTAGCCGGCGCGCCGTTCACGACATCCTCCGCGTCCGAGCAGAGCGACAAATCCGCCTCGAGACGCATGTTGTACGCGACTGGTAGTGGTGAGGCGAAGTCGACGGCCGTTGCCGCCGCCGTTGCTCCGCCGGCGGCGGTGGTGGCGCCACCGGACGGCGGCCTTCTCGCGGGACAGGAGGAGGGGGAGGATAGCAACGCAGCACTATTACCACCAGCAGCCGTGGTTACCGTGGTATCCTCGTTGGTCGTCGTTAAGTGCGTTGCACGAAGCGCGTGATGCTCCGTCGCTGCGCTCTGCTCGATGGCGACGGCGACGACGCCGGCGCCGACGCCTGCGTCGGGCGTCGTCGCGCTCGCTGACGTTACCGACGACGACGACGAGGTGCCTATTACCGCGCTGCACAATTTGACGCTCGCGCCGTTGTTCGCGAGGACCTTGCTCTGCTGACGGCGACGCTGTATCAGATCCCGCTTCCATTGCGGCACGTTGCTGGTGCCGCTCGCCTCGTTGCCGGCGTTCGCCGTCGCGTTGCTGCCGGCGGTAGCCATGTTGAACGCGCGCCGTCAGTATTCAAGTAACTCTCTCTTGCTCTTTTTGCTCGCTCGATCCTTCTTTCACCGTCGCGCTTTCTCTCTTTCTCTCGGCTTCCTCGCGGCACCACACAACACCGCGACGTCTGCGCGTACGCACGCACGCACGCACGCATGCACGCACGCACGCACGTACGTACGTTGGCAACGCACGTCGTTCTTACGCGGTTTCCTTGACTGCGCGATAGCTCCACCTCTTCATACTCTCGTACTTGGGGATTCTTACCGGCGACGAGTCGTACCGGCCACACACGATCGCCGGAAAATCGATGACTGCCGACATACGGTCGAGCACGCGCGCGGCGAACACACACGATTTTGTGAAGGAGAGACGAAGGTACGTTCGTTGCTCCGTCCGTGTATCTCTCTCTGGTCGTATCGTCCGAGCGGATGTTTACATGCTTTCGCGGATTCTACTGATCCAGATCCAGTGTGCCTTTCGATTGATCGGCGAGAAAGGGCTCTCCGGAGCGTTGGACACTACGCGAAAATCGATCGCCTTTCCATTCTCCTCTCTCTCTCTCTCTCTCTCTTTCTCTCTCCCTGTCGCTATCCCACTCCCACCGAAAGAGCGGCACTCTTCTGTTTCGCAAAAGCGTTTAACCACGCGCGTCCACCTGCCGCTCTCGCGATCGTTCCTGATCGGTCCGCACCGCGTTGCCGCGAGCGATTGCAAGCGATCGAACGGGTGGAATAACCGCACCTGTGCCGCGGAGCAAATCAGAACATCCGTCGTCGCACACGCGTCGCACACGCGCACGGCACTGCGACGAGAATCGACGACAATCGCGAATCCCGTCGTCACGTCGCTGCAAGCGCGCGGCCAAGTGTCACGATTGTCACGAGAACGCGATAAATACGCGCCGTCGCTCTAACGCGCGATGACTGGCGATCACACAGTCGACGTCCGCCTCCTGGACTCCTGGAGTGCGACGGGCCACACGGCGGTCGGCGGCTGACGGCTGGCGGGCACCGCGAGAGCCGGCCCACTCGACGAAATCGAAAGTATCCTCTCGAAGCCTGCCGTTCTCGCGTGCGCGTGTGCGTGCGCCCGCTTACTTAGCCCGCGTATTATATACGTATTATATACCGAAATCCCTCGGCCGAGTCGAAAGGCGAAACGCGCCTGTCTCTCGCAGCTCGCAGTCTCGCGCTTCCATCTGCTGCCCCGCGCGATCTTCCCGCCGCCGTCGATCCGTCGGTGATCGGCTTCTCTCTCACGCCGCGCGGCCAACAGCCTGCCCTCCTCTCTCTTTTCACTTCTACGCGCGCGTTTGTGTTGTATGCGTGCGCAAAGCATTGTGTGCGCTGGCTTTGGAACGCGCGCGCCAAATCACCCCTTCTTTCTTACACTGCCTTTTTTCTCTCTTTCCTCTCTTTCTCACTTTCTCTTGTTCTCTCTCTCTCTCTCTCTTTCTCTCGCTCGCTCGCTCGCTCGCTCTCCCGCCGCGTTCGACTCTACTCCGTAATGTCACTCCAACAAGCGGCGAAGGCGCTTGTATCGGCATTGTACATGACGCGCGAACGCAAAAAATCGAAGCGTTAGGGGTTGCAACGGCAGGGACACGCCGCGGTTTTAAGAGCTGATCCGTTATACCAATGTCGGTGGTGTATGCGAAACGGATCGTTCTCGACAATCCGCAAACGGATCCTCCACGTTTACGTTGAATGAGGTGTTCAGGGCAAATGATCGATTGATAATGGCGTTTGGATACGATTTATCTTGTTTGATAAATGAGTGTACCATTTCTGTCACGTCATATATTCTCTCTATTATCGATTGATGTTTAAATTAGTGCGCGATAATAACTTTATTAATTGTTATTAAATTGTTAAAAGTTAATCGTGCGCGAATATTTGGATATGAAATATATGCGCCCTATAAAATATGTCCGTATATATGTATATATATGCGTGGAAATTTCTGTATTAAGATACTTATTACTTATGTGCGATGAACCGGAAATCCGCGATATGCGGAACTGTCTCATAACGAGCGAGTCATTGTAGTTTGAACCTGTACTCTAAGAAGTATGGGTATGAATTTGAACACTGTGGGTGTTAAGGATTATGTGTACAGTCTCTGCGAAAAATAACTGGAATTAGAAATTCATTCCGTACAAAAATAAATGTTGTATACATATACCGTTTAGTAAGATTAATATTGAATATTTATTGTAATAATACAATTTTACAATTTTATAATTTAAATAAAATTTTTCATTTTATCATTATTCTTTAAAATATGTCTTCTACTTTTTATTGAAATAATTTTTTATCCAAATTCTAAGTTTCTATCAAACTTTTTGTATTGCTTACAAATAAAATATAGAAAAATTTATAATTTTTAAATAATTTTTCATTTTGTAAAAAGTACGTATAATACATACTTTACATATAATTCTTATAATGTCAGTGTTGATATAAACACAAACGCAATAAAAATTATATAAACATCAGGGTTGTTTAGTAACTAATTAAAACGTTAGCAGTTAAAAAAAACAGTTAAAAAGTTAATAACTTTTAACTTAACTTAGTTAATTTTAAATGCATTAATTTTTAACTTAATTTGGTTACTTTTAAACTTTAATTTATTCACTTTTTTAAATTAAAAATTTTTCTACCTCTCTTAATGCTAATATTTTTTTTCTATAAAATCTAAAATATAAAGAGAATTAATTTAGAAAAAGTTCAATGATTTTATGATGAGAGACTGTAATATGAGTCACATCATACGGTAGCCAGTTTTTATTGAGTCGCTAGATATTGTCAATTCCCGCTTATATTTGAATCACACTAATTTTAGGTATTATGAATGTTATATTTCAGGAATATAAATATGAAATGGACCTTAGATGAAGAATTGTTGTAGAACAGTACTGCACATTCACCCATTTCCTAAATTTTTACATTTACCTTTGTAACAAATATCTATCGATGTAGTCGTAAACATGAGCAGTCGTTTTAAAAGTTAAAGAAAGTTAGATAAAGTTAGTTAAAAAAAAAGAAAGAGAAATAATGCAAACATATACCCTTTTCTCTTGCAAGATTTTAAAAATGCTTTATAGTGTGACTCTTATTATATATATAAGTAACTTACATGTGAATATAAAATTAAATTTACCTAATAATCTATATTTGTAAGTGTTATTTAAAGTAATCTCATTATAAGAGAAATTAGGACATTCCGATTTGAAAAATAATTTTTTTTTTATTAACTTCTTTTTTTAACTTAAGTTAATTCAATCTTAACTTAACTTTTACTAAGTTAATTCTTTATTCCTTCAACTTTCAACTTAATTTTATTAATTTTATAAGCCATTATAACTTTAACTTAATTTAGTTTAAAAAAAAACATTAACTTACCCAACCCTGATAAACACCGTTATGAGACTGTTCCGCATATCGCGGATTTCCGAGTTATCGCACATAAGTAATAAGTATCTTGTTAGTGATATTAAATCCATATCCATATTTTTTAGAGTGTAGTTACTTTATTTAAAATAACTTAACATTTAAGTGTTGACGTGTTGACTAGCTCGTTACGAGAAAATAAATCTCCGCCCCAATCGAAGCGTATCATCCCTTATCTCCTAATGTTGTCTCATCACAGCGGATTAAATGCACGCGTTTATTGTCTATTTTCCCTGATTTGTTCTGCGCGTTTATCGCGAACTAGACGTTACACTCCCGCGTGGGTGGTTATTATGTCGACCCTTCCGTAATTTACATGCGCTCTGTTCGAGACGATTCGCAAAATGGTCTGCTTCCTGCGCTCTCGGCACCCGCAATCACGACAAAGTCTATCCGCAGTAATGCACACGCTGGAACGTCCACCGTGTATTACACTCCGCAGAAATATAGACAAGATAGAGATCACGATATATTGTTCTTTCAACTCTCAATACATTTCGTAGACACGTAAGTAATGATATATAAATTCTTCCTTCTTAGGTTCTTATATACATTTGGGATCATTAATTTCTCAACAGGGCTCGGTCTTATTTCAAATAGATTTATTTAAAATATATATTTTAAATAAAGAAAAAATTAAAACGTTATTTAATATTTCCTATTTTAAATAACTTCTTCTAACCTATTTCTTATTTAATATATATAAATTTTAAGTTTTTGGAACTTATTTTATATTTTTTATTTTAAATAAATTATATCAGTTATATTATCGAGCCCTGTTCTTTAATATGTAAACTAGTATTATACATATAATATTGTTAATTTTATTATATGTGTTATTATTATAAAAAATTAATTACAATAAATTTATTACCGAATTTAGGAACAGGGCTCAGTAACATAATTGATACAATTTATTTAAAATAAAAAATATAAAATAAGTTCCAAAAACTTATTTAAAATATTAAACAAGAAATAGGTCAGAAGAAGTTATTTAAAATAATAACTATTAATCGTGATGCGCGTATATTTTAAGACACCCTAAACATGCCCCGATAAACTTGAAAAATATATTAATTTTAATAAATATTTGTTTGAATATAATTCAAAGTAAATATTTACTAAATTTAAATATATATTTATTTGTTACAAGAATCATCAATTTGATTCAACCATCATGTTTATTGAGTAAATATTTGTTTACTGTAAATAATATGTAAATGTACTAAGTAAACTTAATAGTACTAAAGTAAACATGTAAACGAATATTAATTAGTACTATTAAGAAAATATATATTAAGATTTAATAAATCTTTTTCGGTTTATGTATGCAATTTTATGTTTCAAAGCTCTTATATAACTTATTGGGTGCTTTCTATTTGGTGACACAAGTGTCGTTCTGTCTTTATTGCTCTCTGAATGTCAAGAAAGATAGTACGATGTTTGTGTCGACTTGTGTCATTAAATGGAAAGCAGTCATTATCTCTCTCTCATACGCATGAGATCATGTTATTAAATTTTTAATAATATTAAATTTTAATTAATTTCATATTGGACAAGCAAACACCAGAAATCCTTTCCCATACAATTTCTGTCCTTGATTTCTACACTCATTCTCAGACGCGAACGAGAATTTAAAATTATCGTGGAACGTTCGATGCTTGAATGTTTGAAGCTCGAAAGGTATTCGATATCCCGAAGGGAAAGTAAATCGGCATGTAGACTCTGTGTATCGGGATCGATGCCTTTCCATGGCCGCGTAACAACGTAATGTCGTCGACTTGAGCGCTAAACCTGCCAAACCGCTATGTTATACTTCATTATATATTATTAATTCTTAACCACTATATTATTATCGATTAAATGAACTTTAAAAAAAATATTAAATGAAAAGGAGCATACAGCCACACTTTAAATACCTAGCGCCTTCCCGGTCCTAGTGTTGAGATGTTGAACTACTATCCAATATACATTCAACTAAATTGAATTAATATTTCAGAATTAATTCAATTTAATTGAATGTATATTGGATAGTAGTTCAACATCTTAACACTAGGACCGGGAAGGCGCTAGGTATTTAAAGTGTAACTGTATGCTCCTTTTCATTTAACATTTGTAACAATTAAAGCCACTTTCTAATATTTAAAATTTAAAAAAAATGTTGATCTTTGTTACGTATAAAGCAGACTCTTCTTTTGTATAGAATAAAATATAACACAGGAAATGCATCGATCAAGACATAGCAGTTTAATTTATTTTGTGTCACTTTTATCAATTATTTTCCAAGTGAACAATTTCAAATTTAATTTTTATATAAAGCAAAATATTCCATTTCGAAGTTTATCCTTTCTTTAGATTTAGAAAGATCAGTCTTGGTTGCATCTTGATTAATGATTATTATTAGATATACATCTTAGTAATAGGACTTCCATTACTTAACTACGTAACTTTCGCATAAAGTTCCATCAGTTGCTGTTAAATGAGCACTTTCGGGAGCACTTTTGTGGATTGCAATATAACGATACGCTTCGTGCTTCTCGGTAGCTATAAAGTGCTTTACTATCGACGTTAACATCACGTCGCTCCCTTCCGTATTCAGTTCGACAATTGTCGAAGAGGGATGTTAAAGGAGCGCATAATTATCGGTAAGAACGGTGAAAGGTTCGTTTTGATGGCAACGTGATTATCTACGGCTGGTCGTTACATCGGCCACGATTATCCTTCTCCTTGCGTGATGCGATCGCCCGCGTTACACTGACGAAATACTTTCGCATGATCCTTATTCTCAGTCTCGTTACGATTGAGAGCGAGAGAACCAGTAACGGGCGCCACAATTACACAAATAAGAATACGATTACGCGTATTACTTATACCGGTATTAAATTACGTCGCGCCAGAGGTGTTGAGCAAACATGATTGTGGCAAACGTTGCGTGTCATTTAGAAAACTTCATTGGACGTTATAATCTGAAGCAGCTCACTTTAAACGATTTATAATTCGTGCCAGAAAATTCAAGGGATTGAACTCTGTTTATGATATCACGTGCCGCGTAAAATAAGAAATATTTCTTATATTAAAATTAGTATCTATATTAAAAATATACTGTTATATGAAAAGAACAATGGTAACCCAATTAAGTTAAATACATTTTGTTATTTTCACAACTTCCATCTGTAATTAAATTTGAATTCAATTCAATGTATTTTCTTGAATTAAATTCAGCCTAACTGCACTGTTTTAGTCAAATTAACGACACGTTGGATGGGAGTAATGGCGACCTATAAAAATGATTAAAAATAACTCAAACTGGGTATAATTTTACATTATGAGCAGTATATATTAAAAATATATATTAAAAATACAACATACACTATAATTATCAAGATACACGGCATATAAACTTATGAAATCCGTTGAGAAATCTGACGTGAGTCATAAATCGTCTAAAGCAAACTAGGCCGATCGATGCACATATGCACGTATTGTATAATATGTACGTACGTACATCAAAATTGGAAAAAAACATCCGGCAGAAATTATTCGATAGAGTTATCGTATGGCAGATGCATGCTCGATGTTTATCTTCGACTATTCCAACGACTGCATCGGTGCATCCCGCAATGGAATCCCGCTAACTCTGTTCCACGACATGACATAAAAGTTGTCATAAACCGCGAACGGTACGTGCGTTCCTACGCATCCGTACGTCTTCGTAAATCGCTTATACCGCAACTATGTGTTTTCCGAACGCGTTGTGGCAAAATCATTTTGCGACCGTGAAGAACTTATTAGCGCGCATTTCCGAGCGAGGAGTCTGGCTTAGCCAGAACGAAAGTATCGTCGAGATGATTTTGCAACGAGGCGAAAAATGTAAGGAGTATGAGATTCTTATTTAATTAATTATATATATATATATATATATATATATATATATATGTGTGTGTAGAGGAATTTCCATTCATTTGTGTCTCTAGTTACACTTAGTGTAAATAATGATTCTCATTTGATTGCGTCATGAGTGTGTTACGAAGATATTATGTAATTAAATACATAAGTAAGAGAAATTCACTTTTGATCAAGTTTACAATATAAATTAGCGCGTTAAGATTGCGAGAAGGTGAAAGGTTTCTAATTCTAATTATAGATAATTTATATTGATAATAATATTAATTTTTCATTGCATTTGTAATAATTAATACAATATACGCTAAAAAAAAATAATAAGTTTAAATATATGTTTGAATAGCTCTAGGAAAATATTTATTGTACAATGTTACATATATTTATTTGATATGAAAATTAATTTAATTTAATCAAATTAGTTTTTAAAATTAATTTTTTTTAGTAGGCATTTATTTACTGTGTAAAAAAAATATTTACTTAGCACTATTAAAAAAAGTATGTATTAAAATTTAGTTTACTTTTCTTCAGTGTATGATAGATCCAGGTATATATTGGATTGAAATAAAAGTTATACCGAATTTTTATTTGTGTAAAGGAGAAGAAAGAGAGAATTAACTATGCAAATTATAAGGAAAATATACATTAGCTATCAAAAATTAAAAGTTCTGATTCGGTAACTGCCTTGCATTTCCGCGTTAACTTACTTCCTACACTTGGCCAGGAAGTCTAATTTCGATCTTAATGAGTATACGATATCTAAAGCTTAGAGTCCAATCAGACGATTTAAAAATAAAAATGCAATCATGTTTATCAATAATACAGCCGGTCTGTTAAATAAGCACAAACATTCGAGAAACTGTATGTTTGTCGAGTTGCGTCTTTTCGCAAGGCGTCTGATTCCTATTAGAAAGTGCCCCCGCCGAAGAGGTTCGGCTCAAAAAACTAGTTAACCCGGCGACAAGTTTCCATTTGGAGTGAAACGGTTTCGATGTACGGTTTTGCGTAAACCGATACGCGCCCGTCTGCGCGACATGACGATCCTCCGCAGTCCCTTGTTTTTTCCATCGAACTTTGAGGACGGGATGCGTTGCATTCGATCCTGGTTCGGAATGCGTTCGAAACTCGTGCAAGACAATCAACGACATCTTTGCACGAACCGGTGAAGTTGCGCGTCTTTCACGTGGAATCTAACAAGCGGGCGAACATGATTGCCGATAGTTTGCAACGCGTACGGAACCAGTTCCAGGTTGAAACCGGTTTGGAACTAGTTCCTTTCGGTTTTTCGGCCCCCCACGAGAACTAAGCGTATAGTCGACATCAGCGAATAGCACTCCAACCAGATTACTTGATGCGATCACAACGTCGTCGACGCTGATTTTCACCTGGACGATATCATGGTTAATAATAAGGAGTCGAAAGGTAAGAAAATCGCTTCGGTGCAAGTCTGTTCAATTTCTCTCGAAAAAGGAGAACGTTAAAAAGGGGCTGATTTTTGTCCGCAAAGGAATAAGTGAAAGGAATAGCATTTTTTATAGATTTCAATTTGCTGAATATGATAATATTAATAAAAAGTCTGGGATAGATAGGGAACACCTTGAAAATTGAGCATAAACATGTGATATATTAAAACAAATTATTAATTCAATATTATTTTTGTTTATTTTTTAAGCTGTTCCCCAAATATCACGAACTTCTTAATAATTTTATCATATTTAGGAGGTCAAAATCTACAAAAAAAAAACACTATTTTTTTTTGTTTACTTATATCTTTTTGGACAAAAATCTGCCCTTTTTTTGGAGGATATTAAAAAAGGTCCGACTTTTGCCCAAAAGAATGTAAGTTAAAGAAATAGTGTTTTTTGTAAATTTTGATTTCCCGAATATGATAAAATTATTAGAAAGTTGGAAAACACCTTAAAAAATAAGCAAAAATATTGAATTTTGTTTAAATACGTCATATTTAATGTTTAATTTTCAAAGCTCTTCCTATCGATCCTATACAACTTTTGATTAACATTATATAAACATCTATAGTTTACCGGCGCTGCCGACCAAAGATCTCTTTAATCACCAGCTAGGTGCAGCTATTTTCGGCTCCTAAAACGCGAAAAATCGCGTATGTGGGCGCAAAGTGGGATTGAACCTGGATCTATAGATCGCGAGTCAATCGCACCGAACGGCAAGCCAGTCGATGTAACTTGTATATGTAACTGAGATATTCTATTGTGCGTTTAATATTTCAGTTTTAATATCTGACTATCAAATAATATATTCTGCAAATACAATAGAATACAATTGAAGATTTTATTCACGGACGATTACTTCTGACTTTGTACTCGCGTATATATCTCCAGTTCTACAAAGCACCTCGTTTATATCATATAGAAATTTAATGCAGTGCTCAACATTTAAATCTGTTATCATTTTATTGTTATACTGAAAATGACTTAAATTATGATCCAGAGTCGACTTATATTGGTTTGTATTTTTTACTTATTTTGATTTAGTTTTTTCATACAGTTTCACGATATATAGTATGTAATTCTTTTAAATTATTTAATTTTCCCAATATTATTAAATTGTTTGTCAATTTAATTTGTGATAACATAAAATTTGAATAGGCTCTAATGAATAAATCAATAAATTAAATAAAGACTTTTAGAGCCGACATAGGTTATTAGTGTTTAAACATATATACTTTGTTTGAAAAATAAAAACATATAATTTGATTTACATACATTTTTTTATTGTTTAATTGTCATTACGTCGACGACACTATTATTGTGAATATCGTTTAGATATTAATTATTAACGTTTTTCATGTAAGCTATATTTTATTTTTTATTTAATAAATTTAAAATTAAGATTTATCAATTATTATTTTAAATCAATTTATTGTATAATGCAATAAACCAGACAGTTTGATGCAGTAAAAAGCGTTGTTCGACCTACTCATTGTTCATGTAAGTGCACATTTTGTTTAATATTAAATTTAACCACAGATTCATAATTTAATTACTATTTATTTATTTAATCAATTGGAATTTGATGAACAATTGTTGACAAGATGTGGACGTGAAAAATAATTGATCAGTTTAATTTCAGCGTATGACCATATAGCTCTTCTTAGAATTTTGTTTATGACGATTTCAATAGTTATGTTTTTTTATTGTAAGATTTATTAGTTATCGGTTTACACTGAAGAGAATCCAAAACGGGATCGAAACGCGATCGTTTATATGTTTCTCTTTTTCTAGTAATAAAGTATATATAATTTACATACTAATATTTTTTTTCTTTTCTATTTGTGTTGTGTGTTTACATTACGGTTTTAAAAGATACTTTGTTTAATATTATTTATTTTTGGTAGAGAACAAAATCGACAGTCACATGGAAGTCAAAGTGGAACCGACCCTTCAGTGTTACGTCGAGGAGGAGCACGAGAACAGCTTTTCAAATTTGGAGAATGCCAGCACGATTCCGTCGAGTGTCGACGTAGGCGCGTTGAACTTGTGGACCAGCAAGGCCACCACCTGCCTGATCAGCCAGTACAAGAAGTATCGATCGTTGGTCGGACAATCGACGCAGATCAGGAATCTACGAGAGATGTTCGAGATGATATCGCTGGAGATGCAGAATTACGGATTCTACTTTAGTCCGCAGAAATGCGAGAATAAATGGCGGGTTCTCGAGCGCAAGTATAAAAACCTCGTGCTCCGCGAGCGGCTGAAAAAACCGGGCAGGATGCGACATTACGGACAGTGGGAACATAAACGCGCCTTGGACGAGATCTTCAATGAGAAGAGGCATGTGTACCTAGAGGCGAACGAGTTGCAGCCGTCAAGCGGATCATCTAATCTCTTGATTCATCCAAAACCAGGTTGCGATCAAGGCAGCGACTCGCTTGACGATCGACAACGCGAAGATCCTTTAGCCCCCATGACCAATAAGAAAGACGGTGAAACATTGGAACGTAAGGAAATTTTGACGTCATTATTCGAAAAATTTATAGAGGAAATGGCAAAGAATTTTGCACTGGCTGAAAAGAACAAAGAGAGGCGGCACAAAGAGAAAATGGCTGTGAGACATAAGGAATTGGAACTGAAGAAGCAGCTTCTCAAGCTAAAAGAACAGAAGATGGAATTACAAAGATGCCAAATGATTGCTGCCGCACAGAACTTGCGTTTGAATATGAAATGATGAATATGCGTCGCTCGATTTGCACGGATATAATAATTTATACAATAATATCTGCATTGTTTTAAAAAAAGCAACACATTTCATGTAATGTAACGGAAGCAAATTTCAAGCAAATATATTTAAAACATTTTAATATTATAAAGTGAAAATGAAGTTACGAATAACTTAAATTTAATGTTCACTGCATTCAATTTTATGTACATGTAAACAAATGTCTAACTTTCCAATTACATATCGATATATA